CAGCACGACAGAGTGAGAGATGGAGACGTTGAGAGGGAGCAGGAGTGGTTGCTCGGTCAAGTGTTAGAGAGAGAGAAAGAGAGAACGAGCTAAGCTGCTGCTGGTCAAGCTAAATGCCTGCACGTAACGCAAGCGCGTTTTGTGGGCGTTTAAAACCGCGCACATGTCGCGCATGCAAATCGCCAAAGCGATCGCAAAAACCAATATAAAAAGCAGCGGATATCAAAAGATAGTTAAAAAAGAATGCAGCGTGCCAGATATGCTATAACGTTAAAACTATGAAAATGGCTAAATGCAAAAATGAGTCACACAAAAACTTTCAAACGTGCCTCAAATGACACGAAGCTAAAACAATGAGGCATGTTCCACTAAACATAAAAAAAAATAAAATAAACTTAAACTTTTAGAAAAATATTGCAAACAAATGCAAAAATTTGAAACGAAATAAACTGATAAAAATTGTAAGCAATGCCGAGGTCATTTTGCAAAAGTAAGTTGACCGAAATGTTATTGAATTTTTATGGAAAAACGTATGCAAGAAAAGTTTGCAATTATTATTATTGCTGCTATTGTTGTTATTGTTGTTTATTCTGTGTGAGTGCCTGTATTCATATTTGTTGCTGTTTTTGTGTTTTGTGTCGTTTATTTAAACAGCTGCCAGCCAGCAGCGAGTTGAAAGCAGACAGAAAACAAAAAACAAGACACAAAAAAACGCTGCTGCTGCCTGGTGTGGCATGCATAAACATAGATACAAATAACGGTATACAAATGTGCACATAAATTCCATATGCCAACCGCCAAAAAATAAACTAAACAGTGACAGAGACAGACTCTGGCTCAAAGTATTATCAGTAAAAAATATAAAGAAAATATCAAAAGTTGCCAGCCAAATGCAATAAAAAGTCTAAAAACAAAAACAAAAAAAGAGTAGCAAATCTCCGGAGATTAGGGAGAACGTGAGAGGGGCCAGAGATGAGCAGAGACGAGTGCACAGGTTATGTTGAGAAATCTACTGCAAAGCGGCGCCATCTGGCGGTGGGTGGCAGTCACCAGCAACCAAACGTTTTATTGCCCCACACAAATGGAAAATAAACTAGAAATAGAATTTAATGCGGGGCAAAATAGAAAAAATTAAGCAGCTAATAAAAAACCAAATAGTAAAAACTATTAAATGAAACTAACTAACAAATACTGTTATTATCATCAATAATTATGAGTTATTTTTGTTTTAAAAATACAATTTAAAGGGATGGGCAAAATAGATATAGAAAATAAGCTAATCAAAAGGAAAATAGAAAATAATAACTAACAATTATATTAGTATTATGAATAATAGTCAGTATTTATATTTATTCACTCATTTTTTTCATTTTTAAATAAAATAGGAAAATATAGAAAAGGAGATACTCCTAAGCAAAATAAAACCAAAAACCAACTAACAAATCCATTATTATTATTAATAATTGTCATTTATTATTATATTCCAATCCATGTATTTTTATTCAAGATGAACTTTTGCCTTGATGCCTGAATTTAATTACTTTTGTCAACTTGTTCATATTGTGAAATTGTGTGCACAATAAGCAGCTTAGAGCAGTATTCAAATGAAGAGTGTATTTTTGAAATGATTTTTTGTTTTGTTTTGTGATTGATGTGCTTACTTTGGCTTATGCACATTTGCAAAGTGCTTGCCCCATTTTGCTGCCCGCATATGCAAAAGATTATGTTTTATTGCATTACGGACATCTACATATAAATTTTATTCTATATTTGCATAACCCAATTTTGATTTAGTATTTCGAATGCAAATTGTCAAAAGGATAGGAAGCTTCAAATTTGACCCCGAAAAAGCCAGCAAAACTAAAAACCAAAAGCAGTGCCACAAAAATGGCTGGGCAGGAGTAGCAGCTGCTGCCGCGCTCGTTTTTCGTGGCATTTGCTGCACCAACAAAATGGGAGGTGCAACAAACGCTTTTTGCTGTTGTAAAACACACAAAAAAAAAACCACAAACAAAATATTTGTTTAATTTATTTTAATTTTGAAAAGTTGCATCCACTGTTATTTTTCCGGGGAGGGGTGGGGGGAACGTGCGCTGCAGGCGAGTGTGTTTCCACAAAAGGATGTGCAACAAAAAGCGTAGAGGAGAGGCAAAGAAAAACAGTCTTTTTTTGGAAAAACGAGCCACAATCATAATTCACGCAAGGCGAACGACAAAGAGTGAGGGAGAGATGCACAGAGGGAGCGAGGGAGAGGGGTGCCAGGAAATGAGATGAATGTGAGAAAAACTCAAAGGAAAAGCAGGTAGACAAAAAAACACGAGGCACATAAATAAAACAAAGCGTGCAAGAGACGACGAAAAATAAAAATAAAAAACCCCAAAGAAAATCGACAAGTGAGAGGAAGAAAGGCAGATGGAGAGAGTGGGTGAGGGAGAGAGAGGAAGAGATGGGCAAAGAAGAAGGCGTCGCATTCTTAAGTATCCTGTTGTGCTGTGAAAACACGAAATTGAAAGACACTTGAAAATACAAAACGAGAAGCAAACGAAGACGAAGGGAGAGGGAGTGCAGAGAAGTGGAATTAGAGGGCTGGTATGGGAGGGGGTGGGGGAGTAGAGCAAGCAGATAATATACTCAACTCAAGGACAAAATGTTTGAGGCTTACTCTCCATTAGAGAAGTGTGTTATTGATATTTATAATTTACAGTTGGCATTTGCAATTGATATTTTCTGTACATTTATTCTTTTATTATTTGCTGCTGTTGCTGCTGCTCTCTCCTCCTGCACCCTCCTCACTTCCCCTCTCTCTCTATGTCTCTCTCTAATGGCTTTTTAATTATTTCTCTTTAGCTGTTGTCATTCTCGGCTCGCTTTTCTTGTTGTTTTTGTTCTTTGATATGATATTAAGTTTGATTGAAGAGGTGGCAATTATTAATTTGTTGCGCTGCATTTGAAAAATAAGACCACTTTCGTAAGGCGATAATACCAGATTTAGAATAAGCCAACTTGAATATCAAATTACGCAATAGGGATTTTATATAAGCAAATACAAACGGAATGTTTATCAAGGTTAATTAAGTATAGCCTAACTAATAATGAGTGCTTAATAGTAACTCTTTATATATATTGTTAAAATTGTTCAAATTAATGCATTCTGTTAATTTTCTCTTTTTAATTTGTAATAGTAAATTACTACTGATAATATAAACATAATTTGTATATTCAAATTAGTCTCCCAGTATCGCAATTGAAGCCAAATGAAACTTGACATAAATATTAATTATTGCCTAATTTAATGCATTATGCTTTATGGCCTTTTAATCAATGTGCCCCATTTAAATAATATATCAAAATATATATGTGTATATCTCTAAAGTAAGAAACAGCTTTAATTTTATTTATACCTACTTTCTTCAGAGGTGTGAAAGGGCATTTAATCGTTGCCACATTAAGCATTATAAAAAAAACACGTGATAATATTTGCCATTTGTTTGGCAGTTTGACTTTGACAGTCAGAAATCAAATATAATAATGCCCCCAGAGATAGATCGCTTACCGCTAGAGTTCCTCAGAGAGTTCATTGATTTTTGACTCGAGACGGGCGACTAGTTGACAAGCAGGAAAGAGGGGAGGGGCAATGGAAGTGGGCTGACACGATGTGTGTGTGTGTGTGAATGTATTCGTGTGTGTGTGTGTGTGTGTGTGTGTTCGTGTCAGAGGTCCAATTAAAATGTCAAATCAAGACATTTTATTTATTAAATGATTACACACTACAAAATATAAACATAAACCGTCGGAAGGGAAGCGGAAGAGGGGGGATGGAAGCGAAAGAGGGGGAGCTGGGGGTGTATAAAATATGTAGACAACAATTTTGTGCGTGGGCAACGACAAAACGTACAAGGGGCACACAAGGGGAAAGGGGGGTGGTGGGCTGTTCGTGGCTGCTTGGATTGCTGCATATTTTATCGAGTGTCAAAATAAATGCTGTAGAGCTTGTTAACAAATTGGAAATAGTGTTGATTGACTGATTGATTGACCGATTGAACTGCTATTAAGTGTAACTATTTTTTTATATATTTTTTTTAGTTTTTCTTTCTTTTATTGAGGCGGACAGCAAAAAGTTTTGCGAGCAACAAAAGTTTTTTTTTATTTGCAGCTGCCAAAAATGATCCAAAGTACGTTGACACGCAAGAGTGCGAAAGAGACAGCGAAATAGGGCGTGTAGACAAGCAGCAGCAGCAGCAGCCCAAGAACTTAACGACCTAAAAGCAACGGTAAAAACTGTCAATGAACGACAACAACAAAAACTTAACGCAAACGTCAAAGCAGCAGCTAAAAACTTGACTTCACGTTACAACAACAACAATACGAAGAAGAAGAAGGAGAAGAGGAAGAACAAGGGGAGCTAGACGAAGAAGCAGTGGAACAACAGGTGCTGGCAGGAAGCAGTAAAGGATGACGATGGGACATAGAAGGGGGGATGGGGTGCTGTGTAGATTACTGCCTGGGGAAGCTGTCACAAACAGCAAAAAAAGTTGTGTGTGCAAAAGTGACAGAAATTTAAACTGAATAGTTGGCAAGAGAGTTGATTTCGGCTAAGAGAGAGAGAGAGAGAGAGATGGAAAATCAACAAGATAAACTAGAATTTCGAGGTATTCAAGAATAGATAAGATAATTATCTTACAAAGCGCGTAAAGAATTTATTTATGAGATGCATAATTTATAAGGAGAAAATAACTTGAGTTTTCCATTAATTAATTGAATTATTCATATTTAGGCCATGATTTGGGCAACAAGTGAGAAAAACAACTCGTTTTTTTAGGCATTTAACATAAATATGTTAATAATATGCTGCATTCTGGAAATAAAAAACGGGAGAATCAAACTGGAATGCCTAATCTTCCAGCATAGATAAGCTCGCTGATAAAACACTCGTATTTATCTCCCACTCTTAATTGAGTCTGTCTCTTTCACACCTAATTTGTTATTTATTGAAGACTTACCGATTGCAAAAATGTTCCATGCACTTCGCTTTGTTCTGCTGTTGCTGATGGTGCTTCTGTTATTGTTGATGCTGCTGCTGTTGTTGTTGTTGCTTCTTCTGCTTCTCCTCGCAGTCGCTGCTGCTGCTGTTGTTGTTGTAGTCGTTTTCATCTTATCGTTTTATTGCTGTTGCTGTTAGTGTAATCGCTGCAGTTGACGTTTTGTGTCTCGGCAACAACAACAGTTAAAGTTTTGCAATTTCTATTTCTCTCTTCGCTCTCCTTTGTTACAGTAAAAAGAGTTCTAGGGCTGCCTGCTTCTCCCTCCGCTCCGGCTCCACTACTCTAGCAGCCTGCGTCACAGCAGCGCCACATAGCGGCCAAAAACAAAAAAAAAGTAGTTGCGTGTTTTTTTGTTGTCGAAAATAACGAAAACAACAACAACACAAAACAAAACTCAAAATTCAATATGGCGTCACTTTGGTTTGTTGGCCCTTCCTTATGCTGCTGCTGCTGCTTCTTCTTCTGGCCAGGTCTTAAACCTCAAGCATTTTCTTTGGCTTTGCTTCTTGCCTGCACTGCACACATACACACACACACACAGACACCAATAGACGCACACAATTACGCGCGCAACGCACACTTTTTCACTGTTATAATCGGCCGTTTGCTTTGCTCTTGCGTTTATCTCTTGTTGTTGTTGTTGTTAATCAGAAATCACCAATGTTGTTGTTGTTGTTGCTGTATGCAGGCGACGACAAAACAGACGCTTGAAAGGTTTCCAAGAAGCAGAGACACACACACATACACCAATACACACATCAACGCACGTAAACCTTTTTTTTTAAGCGACGCGCGCCGCTCTTTCTTCTTCTTTTTCTTGTGCTTGTGCAGTTGTTGTTGTTGTTTGTAAACCTGTTTGACAGGTATAAAAAAGAGAGCCGCTCTTTGTCGTTGAGATCAAGTTAAGTAAAACTAATGATGCCAAAGCCGGCGTCGACGGCGACTGAGGCGTTCACTGCTGCTGCTGCTACTGTTGTTGTTGTTTCGTTTAGTTTTAGTTGCTTTCGTTAATTGTTTTGCTTTATTTAATTCGCTGTAGTTGTTGTTGTTGTCGTTGTAATTGCAATTTTTGCTAATTTGCAAAGCACATTTTTGTATATCAATTACACTTTGTATATTTTATGGAGTTTTCAATTGTAAACAATACACGCGAAACGACGCGACGCAAAAATTGGCTTTTGTTATTGTTGCTGCTTGCAGCTGCTAGCGACGAGCGAGAGCGCGCGACACGTCCGTTCGTAGCGGCAAACGAAAAGAGAATGCAGAATGCCAACGAAACCGAAACGACGAACCAAGCAATGTAATCGGCAAAAGTTAAGAGCGCCAAACTGTACACGAAGCGCTTCTCTTTCATGGCACTTAACAGCAGCGAGTGGCATTTCACTCTCTTTATCGCTAGTCGAGCGCTGACTCTCTTCAGCCAAAACTCGTTTTCTAAGCCATTTTTTCAAGCAGCAACAGGCCAAATAGGAAAAAACGCGATCAGCGAGGCTACATTAAAGAAATTACAAGAAATTGCAACTGGTAAGTTCAATAATAAATTTATTAAATAATATTTGTTGCTTCAAAAATAAAGGAAATATATATCAAACCAAATTAAAATAATTTAGTTTGGTATAAATAAATAAAATCAGAATTTTAAAATGTTAATAACAATTTTAACAGTCGTCGTTATTTGTTTGAATGTTGCCTGCTTTTAAGCCGCAGTCGAAACACAGCCAAAGAGAGCAGCTGTTAACAGCTTAACGAAGCACGCCGTCAACTTAACGAAACATACTTAACAGTGGGCGAGTGCGCGCTCTCTTAAGCTGCGCCAATCAACAACAGCCAATGTTAAATGCCTAAGCAACACGTAGCGTTTTGTGCGCGTTTTACGCGCGTTTCATAAAACTTGTTTTTTGCTTGGCCAACAACAAGTTTTTTGTTTGTGCTGCTGTTGTTGAGGAAAATCGAGTCGATGTGAAAAACCAGTTGGTTAACTTGTCTCTCGACTTGTCGCTGGTCTTCAGTTAACTACGATCAACTGCAAGCCGTCGAAGCAGGGGCAACGTCTCAGACAGAAAGAGACAGCAACAGCATTCAAATTGGAGACTACAGTTTCGTTCAGTTTAACCGATCGCTCTGCCAGCAACAGCAGCAGCGGCAACAGCAGCTCCACTTTTAACCAGTTTCGCGTGTCGCCTTTTGTTATTTTTTTTCTTCGTTCGCTTGCTTGTCTGCTTCTTCTTCGGCTTCTTCCACTTCTGCTGGCTCTTGAGTTTTTTTCGTTTCTTACGTTCTTTGGCTGTCGCCAGAGTTCATGTTTGCTTAAGCTGCCGTTGAAGTTGGACCTCGTCCCCCCTCCCCTGCCCCTACCCCTACCCTAGCCTATGACAATCAAGGCGCTTTAACCAGTTTGAAAACTTGTTCATGCGCTGACAGAAAGCTAAATAATATGCAACTCACACAAACATGCGCTTTGCATGACAAATCGCAAAAGATAGATAAATATCTATATATATACATATATATATATATGTGTGTGTGTGTATATAACTTTTTTATATGTATTCTGGCACGCACTTTTCCAGTGTTTATTGAATATTTGATTTTATGCCCAAAGGCGTTGGCTGATTTCTTTTAGACGCGATTCCCATTTTAAATTGATTGATTAAATTATTAATTGTTTTGCGATATATGCATTTCTGTTAACTTTTATATGTACACATATTTTTGCCAGTTTATATATATATATATTGTAAATTATTTAATTTTGTTTATTGCTATGCCAACTTTAACGTCTCTTCTTAAATATCCATAGTTTTTTTAAACTATATTTTAAGAATTTGATTTTAAATTTTCCAAAACTGTTTCAATATCTGGAAAGTCTTTCAATTACTAGAAATCTCAAGCTTTATTCCAGTCCCATTTTCTGTTATACCCATTTAATTAACAGTTTTTATAGTTGGAAAGTCTTCCTAGCTTTGATTCCAGTTCCATTTTCTGTTATACCCATTTAATTAACAGACGGCTGGACAGTCTTCTTAAGCTTGATTCCAGTTCCATTTTCTGTTATACTCATTTTTAATTAACAGCCTGTTAACCGTCTGTTAAGCTTGTCTTTCTGTTATGCTAATTTTTATGCACTTTTTAAAATGCAAGCAGAGTATTTGCCAGTCGTAGATCTTTTTTACATTTGCTGCTTCTTCTTTCCATTTGGCTACTCCTGCGACAGGCGACGCCATATAAATTGCGAGACAAAGAGAGGGAGAGAGAGGGAGACGGAGCTAGCAAACAGATTTTTAGCTGCAGATTTGAGATTTATCTTCAGCTGTTGTGCCACACCCCTTTCCACTACTCGTCCAAGGCCAACACGCAAATCTCTTGTAATTATCTCTAGATACACCTAACCCCCCCTCCCCCTCTGCACTAGCCCCTGCAGACCACCTTGTTGCTGCTGTAATTGCTTTAATTTTACAGTTTGACGCATAAATTTCGAGTCGCATTTCCATGAATATTAATAGCGCAATTGCTGCTGCTCCCCTCTCTTTCTCTCTCTCTCTCGCTCTATTACTCCTCTCGTCATCGTCATCTTGGCCAAGATTCAATAAGTGGAGGCGTGTTTTGCACCTCAAAATCGACGCAGACACGCAGCCAAAATTATATTTATATTGCAAATTAGCATTGCGATTATGTTAACGGTAATCCTAGCCCCCAGCCGCCATACCACACCCCCTCCCCTCACCTCATCGCTCAACCACAGTTCTCTCCTACAATTTTGCTTTTGTTTTTCAATTGAATTGAATTAATTGCTTTGGATTCCCTTGAGATTTTTTTCTCTGTTTTTTCTTAGAAAATTCTTTGATCTAATAATTGATTTTATTATTAATTATAGTTGTCTGCGCTGAAAATTGCAATAGTTGTTATTGGTCAAGCTTGAACTTGTTTGCATATTCGAATATAATTCTTAAGGGAGCAAACTGTGATTTCCCTAGAGAAAAGAACGAGACAAACTATTTTTTTGATTTGCACTTGTTCCTGCATGCAAATTACTATAATAAAGTCTTAAGTCATTCTATTCTAAAGTATCTCCATGAATAATCTTTATTTAATATATTTTTATGTATTTTTATTATTATATTTATGTAATGCTAGAGGTGTTAAAACTGAGAGGTATTCTTTAATGAAGGCACTAAGACTTTACTTTAATATAGATTTTCTATAATGTCGTCTTAGTTCCTCCTTTCAAAGGTAATTCTAAATTTTAACAACTCTTATATTAAACTTATTTATTTATTTATTTAACGTCAACAAAAGTTAGTCGACACAAGAAAAAACCAAAAATATATTTTATTAAATTAAAGATCAAAATTCAATTTTAATTAAAATGAAATTATATGAAACATTTATAAGATATCTTATGCACAAATCTATTTATTTTCATAGACTCTTTCAACAAAGAATAATTTTTTAAATATTTTTTTAGTTGTGAAACATTCATTAAATATTAATATATACTTTTTACAGCAAATATTTAAATTTCTTATAAGTATATCCCCCTTTTATCTAGGCACCTTCCCCTACCCTACCCCCTGTGTGCACTTGTCTGTTGATTACAAATCTTGAACTTTTCAACGTTTTCAACACTGCTTTTCTCATCCGGCAATCAAGTAAAAAGTGAAGAAAGCCAAAGGCCAAACCAAAATAAACCAAAAAGTCAGTTCGCCTCAGCCTCAGTTTCAGCGCTAATATTGAAAAGTGGATTTACGTATCGGGTTTCCATCGATCTATAGACTACCCCTCCACTTCCCTGACTCCATCTGTGATCCAAACTGATCTTTGATTGGCAATCGTTGAGGCAAATGAGTTTTTGATCTTTACTCGGGGGCAGCAAGTTAAGAAAACAAAACCAAAAAACCAAAAAACAAAAACAAATAAAAACGAAATCTAAATTAGAAGAAGAAGCAGAAGGGGGATTACTATAGAGAAGAGCAGGGAGCAGAGTAGAAGCTGAAATTAAAGTACACTCAGAGAATGCATGATCCATGATCTTC